GGGCTGCTGCCTTGGAATCCACACAGTGCAGACACACAGAGGCCACGAGGCCCATCGCGATGGGCTGTGTCATACAGCACGGGGACTGCCCATGTCCCTCCACAATCTGGAATTTCAGCATTGCAGTCACACCTGGTCACAGCAAACCATGAATCAGAATACAATCTCTGCTAAGAACATGTACTGACATCAGGGGTAAAACTTCCAAAACACAGCACTTCCATCAATTTCTAGTTACATAAACTCTCTTCCAAGTAAGGAACACTGACACTGCACACCGACATCATTCCTGAATCCTGTTTGTAGTGTGCCTGCATTTGGTTTCTTGCCATTTTCTCCATCTAAAGAAAACAATCCTCCAGCTTCTAATTTCTCTAACTATTTGACAACTAAATGCATTTTCTCTGCTCAGAGAGGCTGTGGATGCTCCATCCCTGGAGGTGTTCAAGAACAGGTTGGATGGAGCCCCGGGCAACCTGCTCTAGTACCAGACCTGGAGGTTGGTGGTCCTGCCTGTGACAGAAGGGTTGGAAATCGATGATCCTTAGAGCCTCTTCCAACCCGAGCCATTCTATGTAAAACAACAAGCTATTACAACACATTTCAGAAATCAACACAGATAAGTATTTTATACATAGATTTAAACACTGTCATGTCACAGAATTACTGGCAACCCAAGTATTACCAAAATATACAGTCACAGAAAGACAAATTATGAGAGCAAAATAATCTGTATTATTGTCCTCATAAAAGGACAATTAGATGAAGAAAGGGAACCAAAATTAACACACTAATGTGCCTTGGAATGCTTAATGCAGTGGTTTCTTAGCTGTAAACTTCTTAATGCAAATTATTAAATGTAGATTTCTAACAATTTGAAAGAAAAACAGAAGATATATCACAAAGGTGATGTGACAGAGTGAATTGAAAATCCATGGAACATTACATCCATGGAAAACGCAATCAGTGTAGTAAGAAGCCCTCTTTGAAGATGGATCCCCCAGTTCTTAGTGATAACACCGTGCATCTCCTCCCCTTCTGTGCAAGAGGTTGTCTCTAAGTGAGTAGAAGTGGCATTTTAGTACCTTCCATGGACAATCACAAAGCAAATCTACTCACATACTGCAGCGGGGGCACTCGGACAGGAAGCAGGCAAGATGCCAGAACAGCACTCAGTTCTGCACAGCCTTTCTACTTGTACAGCATACATGGAGTAATATACCACAAAAAACAGCCAAAAAAACCCCACCAACCCACAGATAAGTACCTGGAAGCTATGGGTTACATGTTAAAAGCAAAAGAGTGTTTTTAATTTCTCTCCTTTCCCACTTCTGCCCTAATCCCCACTGTCACAGCCATGTGCTCCTCCTGCATCTCAAGATGGCTCTGGGACCCGACTACACCAAGACCCAAATCAACTGTAACAGAAACAAAATTAACTGAAAGCACTTCTGCTGCAGGATTAGGAGATTAGGACCGGCTTGCTGATCATGTGGTCAGATGAATGCCAGGCACAAAAGGAGCACACGCTCCTTCTGTCAACAGCAAGTCCTCAGCTCAGTTCATTTCTGCCTTTTATATGCAACCAAAGAGAAAAAGTAAGAAGATGTAGTGCAGAGGAGGATATGACTGAGGATTTACATAGTAACCCAATTCAGCAGGGATGAGACATCTCTAGCATCTGTCATATATTTAATTTTCATGTCATACCTTTTATGAGCAGCAAAAAAATAAAGTCAGCATTTCAATAAATCCTGTATTTCACTGTCTGAAATATGGCTTCAGACAAAATTTCAAGAGAACAACAGCTGTTTGTTTTGTTCAGAGAGCCAGACAGAACAATTGGTATTCCAAACAATCCTTAAAAGCATCTGGAATAAGTGCCTAATGACCATTTCAGCTGCAGGTTTTAAAGCTTTCATGTACTGCAGAAGAGAACTTGGGCTCTATATTGGTGCTATCAGAGTATCTGTATATATCTGTGCAGGAAAGATTACCCTCTGTAAATATTTTTGATGAGTTCTAAATGTCACTGCACCTTACATGCCACTTTAATTCTGATCAGGTTCATCTGATCAGAAATTAGTTCAATTCATTTGTGAAATAACAGAATAACCTTTCTTGTTTCAGATTGCTGCTTCAGTAGAAGGGCTGACAGAAGAGATTTCTCATACAAAAAGCATTTATAATTTTCAGCTACTTGCTGTCAGTCACCAGGGCTAATAGCAGTGGCTTGCCATCCTATCCTAAATCAGGATGCAATCAGTAAATTGCCTTTGAGTCCTATTTCTATTAGCAACTCAAACCAAGCCAAACTTAAATGGAGAGAGGGCTGGTATGAAATAGTTTCCTTGTACCCATGATAACTGAATGAAGCAGTGAACCTCACGCTGCCTTTCAGGAGGTCAAGGCTGGGGACTTCTCTGCTCATACAAGAAATTTTCACTTTCTGATCTGACATTAAAAGAAAAGCTGCACAAGACAGAAGTCATGGGCCTACAGCCGCAGAGGATGGGATGCAATAACCCACGTGTTATTTTCTACAACAATATGAAATGCTATTATGACTTTTAAAAATTATTTATTGTGGCTAATAGTAAAGATCAGAAGCAAGAAAGGAAAAAGAAAAAGAATAAAAAGCAATCAAGACAGGCAGATAACTGCAAAGTCCACTGATAACCTGCAGGCATTAGACATATCATTTCCACTTGTATCCTTACAAATGACTCCTACTGCCAAAGCTGTAACGTTGTTTTCAGACACTACAAACATTGCTGCAAGATCCAGCACACAACAGGGAAAGGCACTGCTTTACTATTGCCAAAAAAAGAAAAAAAAAAGCAAGTCACTATTAGCAACTAACTCTGAATAAACACAAAGCATAATAACACGGCCACCCAAAGTCCCAAAGCAGACAGTTCTTACCCAGTGTTACACTCAGTATGTACCTGAAAGACTTCTGAGCCCAACAAACATATTTGTCAGTTCTTCTCTTGAAAAATGTTATTAAGCAAAACTATTAAAGAAATCAGAAGCAGAAAGCAGTGCCTGGTGCAGCTATGAAACCTAAAATCAGCCCCTTAACTATTGTTTATTTCCACTGTCAGGCAGTAAGACTTTCATCTTAGCTCAAAACAGAAGAATCCCAGGCTCGTGCCTGATGGTACAGAGAGCTTCTGAAAGATGGTAAGAACTGTAAGTATGAATAAAGTTAACTGCATGTTGGAAAGTTATTTATGAAGAGTAAGAATTTGGGGCAGAGGGAATCAAACTGTTCTCTTAGAATAGAAAAAAAAAAACTTTTCTACTTTCTCTGCTATTTTTATTGTACTTCCCTCCAAAGAGCAAAGGTGAAAATCTTGCTTTGCAAATCTGTTATCACTACAGAGTCCATTTAGTTGTTCTCTCAAGTGGAAAAGGTTTACAAACAAGAAAATTTGCCCTTTAGTAGATTTGGCACAGTTGCAAAGTTTAGCAGGACAGGAACAAATCTGATGATCTCCATTTCAGGAAGCACATACTGAAACAGACTCCTTTAAAAAAGTTACAGTTTCAACTAATTATCTATTAAAACAAGAACATGAAACGGATCTTTGAAGCAGCCCATCACAACAACAAGTTTTCAGAAATCAGTCCCAATATTGCTACATGGGACTGGAATTAAGCACCACCAACCAAGCCACTGCTGCTGCATAGCAGGTTGCACATTGCAGCCTTTCCAGACTGAGATCTGGGAGACTGGAAATAATCGTATTTGTAAGGTATTTTTGTTGCTGTTTAGTCATAGTTCTGGTTAATTTAGGAGCTTTAGATACTGTTTTATTGTATCTTCTGCAGTATAAAAACTCTTACCTTTAATTTTAATGCACTACTCCAGTTCCAAAGAAATTTTTTTATAGTGCTTTAATCCCCAGAGCTCAACAAACAAGGCCATACAAGCAGACATGGGCTTGATTTTTTGGGGGTCTGCAGAAACTAGTAAGCCTTGCCTACTTCTTAAATTGTTTTATTTACTTATTTTTAAACATCTTGACTTGTTCAACAGGTACCCACACGATGAGTAACCCAACAGTTCAGCTCTTCACTACTCACCATCATCTTCAAAGTATCAAGACTACCTTTTGTCAAAGATGAACAAGGCCATTGCATTAAACAGGTTTTTCCTACCAAGAACCATCACCTGATAATAATAATAATAATAATAATAATAATAATAATAATAATGCTGTCAGCCTCTCAAATTTCACTTGCAATTAAAAACAGTGTCTGAACTATACGATCTTGTTTCTTAGGCACTGCTACTTCCTGTCTTCTTGACAGGACAAATGACAACATTCATGCTTAGAATCTACTATCTTCCCAGTCACAGTGCAAAATATGTGAACATCCTAGCATCCTCAGCTATCTACACTGAGATACAAGTAGACTGTAACTCATCAGTTTGCTTATGCATAGTGGGCACAAATCACATCCGAGAGGACTGTCTGCAGAAGGTGTCTACAGAAAACCTGGAGGAATTACACCAAAAAAGAGATATGCTGTTGAGGCAGGGAAAAAAAAAAAAAAAAAATCAAAATCAAACCCACAGCTGCCTTCAAGCAAGTACAGCATGTCAAATTCAGCTCTGCTTACACTTTAGAAAAATCCTTCATGGAAAGACTGCAATATTTTTTTTTTTCCTCCAATTTTCGCTTTTCCTCTTCTCCTTTTTCTAAAGATAGTACAGTACACAGATACACATCTTTCAAAGAGGAAACAACTTCACCTGAGAACCTCTGAGAAAGACAGTGCCCAGTGACTTCTCTGCTACCTATGCATTCTCCCCACCATTACTGCAATTTGGTACTTGCATTCATGGCAGGGACAAAAGCCAACCTGAAACAAGGAAATTTTAAAAGCTGCAATATTTTACATTCCATTACTGTCAGAACCACATGCAGAAATCAAGCAGGTATAAATAGCCTTCAACTACATGCAAAGGATCTAAAATAAGATCTTACATAATGGATGTCTGGTATGGGCAATCTTATTTGAGATGTGCTGATGCAAAGCAGGTACTGCATCACCAGTGGCTCCTTCAAAGGGAGAATCCTGTAGGAAGACGACTGTATAAACTTGTATTAGGTTTTCAGGAACTGCAATATGTGCACAGCTGAACAAGGGAACAGCCCACACAAGTAAATATATGAAGAGAACCCCACGTAAAGACAGAAGATCTTACATGTGACAAACACATGGGCAGAGGTCACCTGGCTCCAGACACACGGATACCTGAACAAGGTAACTTCATTTCTCAGATAAAATGCTTTGAGCAGTAAGACAACACCTAAAGCTGTACAGCCATTTGTCTTGTCTGCATTTCTGGAATGGTAAAGAAAAAAGAAAAGGAATAAAAAAGGTTGTTCTAAGCCAAAACTTGAGCTCCCTCTAGGTACTGATTGCTCAGCACTCCCCTAGCTGCATTTTGACATGGTCTGTGAAGCCAGTGCTTGTGAGCATGAGTGGAATAAATGGTGAACAGAATCTAACTCTGAATTTGTCTCTCTGCAGCTGTCTCAGCTGTGCTGCCAGGAAAAAGCCAAACACAGTGACATTCTATGTTTGCCTAACTGCTAAACACCTCCATGAAATCAGAAACCACAAATTTAAGCATATGTAAAGAGCTTGCATAATAAAGACTATCTTAAGCAATATTTTATTTCTTTTCTTAACCAGAGGCTGGACTACCCATTAACAGTGGTTTGGTTTGATGAAGAACCAAGTGCTCAGCAGTTCAAAGAGAGTAAATATTGTCAATATACGCTCAGAACTCAAAGAAAAAATAGGATTTTTAGATTTATAGATTTAAGATCTATAGGCAAAGTCTAGTGGCAAGCACTTCACCAAACATACTAATTGTCTTATTGCTGTTTACAGCAATAGCAAAAAAAATATTTGGAATCATGAAAGTTTTATTGCCCACTCAAGATGTAGCAGTCTCTCTAAAGGCCCAGGTGTTGAAATCATGGTTTCAGTGGGATTTAATTTTCACCTAAAATCAGAGCAGCAACACTTTCTATCTTTCAGCTTCAGAAAACAAACAAACAAACAAAAACCAACAAAAAAAACCCCAACAACCCACAGCAAAACCTCAAAGTGAGATCTTTGAGCTGTGAAGGTCTGCAAGCCCATTGCACTGAGGTCTGACTAGTGCTTTCCTACTACTTCAGGTTGCCAGTAGTGAGGAGAAATACGTTGTCTTCATAGAAGGCAAAATAACTTTTAATGAGAATAACTATGATGTGTTTTAATGAACCTGCTATAATATACAATTATGGAACTATAAGAAGACACAAGACCATGATGCAAAACAGTCTGGACTGTAATCACCTCCTCATTTTTGTTTGACAAAAAAAAAATGGCATGCTGCAACAATGTGCACCAGTTCTAAGTCTGACACTGAAACACAGACATCTTTTAACAACTAGCAAACTTCCTCTTATTGCACTGCTGCAGTTTGCCGAAACTCACCTTGGCTCTGTGGTTGGTAGAATTCACATCCTTCAATTGAGGTAAAAACTGAGCAGTGAAAATTCATGACAGTGATTCAAATACAGATTAGAGGCAGGAATGAAATAATTCAAAATAATATAGCACTTGCTGAACTGTAAAGCATGGAAGAGAAAGAGAAGTTAACAGAAATAAACACATTGAAATCTTGAGCTACCAAAGTTCACACGAAACTTACTGTGCACTGGTTTGACTTACCAGCTTCCACACTTTTTGTGCTATTATTCTGTACCTCTGTGAGAATAGTGGTTTGTATTCTTACGATGCCAGTAAGACTACTTCAGCCAATGCCATTTCACCAACACATCTGAGATGTTGCTGTTTACAGGCTAGAATTATTTCATGCTGGCAGTCCAGAGGATATGAGGAATATATCCTGACCTTCCTGGTCTTCTGATGGTGGAAAGAATCATCATGGGTTCCTGTGCTTCTTTCATCTGTAACTCCTGCCTAGGCATCAAACAACTTACTCCACCAACCTGCAAAACTTGATAGACAGATCTATTCTTTTTTAAGTTACATGCGTGGAGAAGTCAGTGAAATATAGGAACCAAACTCAGTGTTGTTTTCTAGTCAGATAAAAGGCAACTGGAAAAACAGCAGAGACAGAGACTTCTTTCTGCATTGAGAGGAGTAGCATAAGGAATAAGATACCAGGAAAAGAGGCTTCTCACTCCATTCTCCTCCTCTTCTATTCAGACAGTGACCTCTCAATCATGAACAAATGCAGTCAAAACAGCAAATGCACCTAAACTCAACAAAAGTTTTCTGTAGGGTAAAACAGGGCTGTCTAGCATCTCCTCAGAACATCTGCAAGTTGAAACTCGACAGTGAGAGCATCCCAATTCCATGCAGCTCATGAACTAAGGCTGTCTGCAAAATAGTTACTTGTATTCAGTAATGAAAGCAATAGTCAGTCTCCTTTTTCTCTCCCACTCCTACCTTCCCAAATACATCAGTTTCGAGTTTCTTGAACAGAACTCTTTCTCTTACCAAGAACACAGGTAGCAGTGCTTTACTGGTCAGTGATATTTCCTGAACATCCAGCTGTCTACTGAACTTCCTAAAACAAGATGTCTCCCTTGCAGTCATGCACATATCTTAGCAATATGTACAGAAGTCACTGAAACACATCTATCATGTCGACCAAAAAGGAAAATGCGACACTTAAAGAGTGCTGCAGTACTACAGCTTGCTTTCTTGATGCCAGGATAAAAGCTATTTTTAGAGGCCAGTTTCACAGTGCTTTATTCAAAACACACCATAGCAAATTTAGCTAATTTCACTGTGTACAGGGGTCATGCCTTGGCATCCAAAGTAACGACTATTTCATAACAATGTCGCTTTTAATTAATAGAATGGTGACTGGTTCACAGCACCCACACATGGATCAGCTCTGTTTAGCTCTGTTCTGTGGCCTTGTACACATGTAGCATTTGTGTCACATACGGTTTCATTTCCCCAATTAATGGCCTCTTAAAACGGACCCTGATGTTTATTTCCACAGGAGGAGAACACAGAGCACTCTCTACAAGTGTCATTCAATAAACACTCAGCTTGTAGCCTACTTCCAACTTGTTTGTAGGAGAAGTGCAACACCAATAAAACTGCAGCCTTCCACAAACAACCTGCATCGATGTGTGGGTGAAAATGCACAAGTATTCTACCAATGAAAATGATATTTTAAGGTTTGGTATATATGGAGTTCAGTGTTTGCACAACTTTTTTTACCAGAAAATAAACATCCTATCTTCTTCCTGATAAGCACTGGAAACACTTTCACTAAAACTGGTCTTTTAAAAGAGGACTGCTTGTTTCCAAAACATTACAGACTTTGTTGTGTGATCAGTGCCCTCGGCCACTTCTGCCAGCTGAGCAACAGGCTGTCATTCCTTTGGCTTTGGGTCATACAGAATTCTAAAAAGAAATGCTAACAGGGCTGCAGGATATGAAAGACCATAAAACCAAATTCAACAACTTGTCAAAAACAGCAGGACATGTTATTCTGCAGAACACAAGGCCTCTGTGTGTAACAACAGGAGATGCAATGTGTATCTTCCCTGAAACTCAGCTGCTGTTACTTCAGGTTGGACCTTTTCTTTTTATTTTTTTGAACCAAAGCAAGGACACTGCTCACCACCAACATGATACAGCTTCACCAAACAGCCCTGATATTGGGCTGCAGATGTTCCTCAGCAGAAGAAAACTCAGCTTATTTAAGTAAAAGACTGATTTTCCTCTGTTCCAAAAGAGTTCCTCAGTGGACTGAGGCGCTTCAGGGATCATTTTCTTCTGTCTTCCTATTATCCAATGCATCCAGCTGTCTCAAATAGCTGTAAGGTGGAAAGAGAGTTCAGTTCCCCAGTACTAGCTTTTCTGACATGCATTAATTCTTAACCTCTCCCATCTCCTCCCAGCACAAGGCTACTTGCCAGCATCATCTGCATGCACTATCCAACCCCCTCCGCCTCATTAAAGGAAACTCGCTAATAGCAGAGCGAACCGTTTATGAGTCAGCCCTCTCTGATATGGTGAGCCACGTAATGCTGTATGCAGCAGCTTCCAGAACTCCCTCTGCTGTAGTCTAGTTAATCAAAACACACATTGAGAAACTGAACTAAAGGCCAATGAGATATTTTTTTTTTCCTACTAAGTCCTCTTAGTAAAATGCCTACACACAAATTCAGACATCTTACTTAGATGAACAGCACAGCCAGCACTGCGAGGGACTCTCCAAGAAAGGCAGAGGAAAACAAAATACAGAACCTTCTCCTGGCAAACATGGCTCAAAACAAAAAGATTAGACAAAACCAGCTAGGTTCAAATTGCAGTTCTTTCCAATATCCAAATTCTACTGCACAGAACAGAGTGAAAGCTTCAGGATGCTGTCTGATGCTTGCAGTGGAGGAGGGGGTTCAGGAAAGAATATGGCCTAATTAAAAAGAAAAGCAGAGGAAGTGCTACAAACACTTCCACTTTATCTAACTCCTCCGACGATTGGCTGGAGAGCCGTTGCTACACAAACTCTGCCTGCTCCAGCTACACACAATAAGCCCTCCTCTGTTACAGCAGACTGCTGCAGACGCAACCCCTGCCAACACAGCCCTATCAAACTGCACTGAATTTCAGCACCCAATGGCCGTCTCCCCTCAGGCTAAGAGGAAAAGCAATAAGCTTGCCCAAGAATGTACAACTCCCTGAAATTAAGCTCAGTGTATGGGCTGAGAACCTTTGTCTGCAGGATTTTCATGAAAACTTCTCTTCTTAGTTGTTTCCAAAGCAACAGAACAATGTGGTTCCAATCCCTGCTGGTATATTTTCTGATCAAAATCTTTTACAACAGTGTGACTATTGGAGGAAGAAAAGTGGAGAGAACAAAGGGAAGCAATTTCAAAAGGCGCTGTATGAGATCTGGAAGCAAATTAACTCCCCTCCTAAATTCAAAACAAACAAGAAAACCAATGAAATCAAAACAATCAAAACAAAACCAAGAGACGGCTTACAATTAAAATACCTCTCGAGTTTTTTGCCTGTTTTTATTAAACCACCCCCCCCAACATTTTCACCTTTTGTATATTAAGATCAGTGCTGACAAGTCTGAAGGTCTAAAAGTCTCACCCCTCCCAGCATTCACTCTTGTCACTAACAGCATGCCTTAGCCCAGGAAAAAGCAAAGGAAAAATACCTGCTGATTAAGATATGAAATGGGCAAGCTAGTGTACCACCTCCTCTGCTCCTTTTCTGACACAAACCAATGCTGAATTCAGAAGGAAAAAAAAACAAAACAAAATAGAAGCATTTAATAAAATGAACAACTTCAGTATTCAAAGAACTGATTTGCCTGAGCATGCACCAAGCAGGCCATGGGATTCAGTAGTATTCTTATTTATTAAAAAAAGTTACATTCAAGTAAATTGTCCTAGGTAATGGGACAAACTACTGAGAAAATCATCCAGGAGTAATTAAAAAGAGTGAATTAATAAGGATGTCTGCATAATTCACATCTATCAATTGTGTAATTGTGACAACTCAGGTGCCATCTTCAAAACCAGCATTGATGTGAAACACCGTACATGCAGACCTCAGCAGTAAAGGGGACCTACAAATCCAACATTAAAGCACCCTTCCTTTGTGGTACGTGGGAAAACTCTCCTCCAGTAACCAAAAGCAATGGAATGAAAAGTTATGAGCCCTTTGTCACTAGAGTGAATTGCATGCAGAAGAAATAAGGCATGCACTTTTTGGCTTTTGCGACACGTTGGAGTCACAAAATGAATTACTGCACGTGCAAACACACCCTTCCAGTAGGCTAAGTTCTGTTTTTCTGCCTATGCAAATTATCGTGTTTGAATATAAAGAGTGATTTGAACTCCACCAATGCTAGAAAGATCAGATGCCAGTGATATAGGCAAACAGCCAATCAGTGAGGCACTTCTGTGTAACCCTTCTGTTTACTTACTGCACCCACAGGACACGCAGTAGGAAGGAATGCTGCCACATGCCCCAGCTGCTCCAGTGTGCTTGAGTGGCTGCTTCCACACAGGCAGGCACTGCAGCAAGCTCCTGTAAGAAACAGGAAACTGCATTTCTGCAGGGTCCAGTTATAAACATGAAAACAAAGAACAGAGGCCAGCAATATCTTATTTCATCAAAAATGGAAGAACTATCTTTCTTAAACACATTAGTATTTCTTCCAATTTTTTTCAGCTTTGGATGAAGCTGAAAACACAGAAGTTGTTTCTGACAGAGGTATGAACAATTATTTTTCCTAGTGTTCTTTGCAATATGGGCTGTAATGCCTTAGCCCCATATCTGTGGAAGCAGCACCATGAGTGAGGCTAATTGTTTTCATGGCAGTATCAGCACATAAACAGTAGTGTCACCCTCCCATTTAGGCTGTGCCAGAAGCCCTGTGGTTGGGAGCAAGGACACACCATGAAAAGGAAGGCTTAGCTCCTCCAGGGAAGGTGAGCTCAACTTCACACATCAAAATTAACCTGCAGTTCTCTAACAAACAAAAAACAACTCCCTCCCTCGAAACAAAACACGAAAACCTTCAACGCGAATTTTTTACAGTTTGAAAAAGTACTCATTGCCTCACTGCCTACTTCTGCCCACAGCAGTGTATTTTGGAACGAGATACATCCATCCCTTTATTTACTGCCTAGGCAGTTAGTACAACACTAGCTCATAACAACTGCTTTCTGCAGAAGAATTTCTATGCAACTGCTTGCTGAGGTCCTTCATCGATTTCTAACATAGAGATTGCTTTAGACTGTAGTTCTGTAGAGCTAGCACTGTCAAAGAACTGGCTTATAACTTCAGTACAAACTGCAAGCAATATAAACCCGCTACCAAATTAAACATTAACTTTAGTTTTAAGAAAGACTTACCTGTGTTCTGAACTGCCTTCACCAGCTATCAAATGCCCCAGTTTAAAGCAATAGCCTACCAACCTTCAGTAACACCTGCACTGAAAATACAGATTTTAACTTAACTCCAATTATTTACCTCATCTCACCTTCCAGTGTCATCTCTAAGAAACTAATAAGTACTTCTAAGGGAAAACATTTTAAATTTATATGTAAACAGAACTAAAAACAGAGTAACAGATCTTCTTTCTGTTCCATGGCTTAACTCTCAGGGTTAAAAAGCCACAGATCCCATGCAAACCCAAGCTCCAGACACGTATTCTATAAAGAAGTCCCCTTTCCATCTTCTTAGCAACCAATTTGCATGGGTCATGTTAAGTATTTTTATTTTTTGAGACATAAAAACATCTTCAACTCTGTAACTCCTTTCTTTGTTCTTCCTTCTTTAAAGAGAACCACCCAAAAGGTGTCGTTGCTTCTTTAACTGACAAAACGTTTCAAGAAAATTGGTAAGGGATTGGTCTCTCTTTCTTCCTTTGTAAATCACTGCCATTTTATCATGTTCAGAATGTTTTATACAACGAGAGAACAAATTATTTTCCATGGAAGATGAACTCTGCAGGACAGCATTGAGGATAGCAGCTGTATCATTCAGTTAACAATATGGCATCTATATTTAACGTAGCAAAGCATAAAACAGAATTAGAGAACAGAAGTCAGACTGGAATTTCTTCTATAATCTGAAAGCTAAATACAGGATGTACTGGAGGTAGAAAGATAAAGAAAGATGTGTCCAAGTTTTATTAAAGAACACACTTTGACAAAGCCAAGTTAAGTCCAAACACATACAAGTGAAATGGCCACTCAGGAGTGGAAAAGCATGAACACCCCAATCACACTTACACTAAGAAAGGTGATGTTGAACAAGCTGTAATTATCAGTGGAGCTGCTTCATACACTAAGTGCTGCTTTTACAAACATGGGGAAGATTAAGCTTTAAGGGGAAAGATGCTGAGGAATGCTGAAAAAGTTAGAGCTGTATGTCTTACTGAGATGTAAGCTGTATATTAAAGGTTTATTTTCTCCTGCTCTAGTTGCACTGCATTGTAACTGCTAAAAGAAAACACAAGCTGCAAATACATAGAAAAAGAATGCACGTAGTATGGCTGCGGAGTTAGAAAACTTTCCATGCCAGGGAACAGCAAGTCCTCTGAAGGCATCATTGGTTGGTTGAAAATCCTTTGGCTTCTTCCCTCAGCTGTAAATCATTTCAGGCAATCTACTCGCTGGCATGCTGTACTTGTGACTGTGCCAGCCCAGCTAACCTCTGCACAACTGCACTCAGCCTGACACCCCCCCCAGACCCAGCTTTAACATCACCACTTCTCCTTCCTGAGAAATCCTGGGGCTGGGGGGCAGCGGGGGCCCCATCCGCAGCCTCAGAGGCACACTGCAGGAGGGACCTCGGCCAAGCTGGCCAAGGGAAGAGGAAGGAAATCCAGGGAAACATAAACACTATCTCTAGGCAGCGGTTCACCCAGTCGCACTGCTGGTTTACTTCTTTCTTTTTTGAAGAAGTGGCAAAGCATTGTTTCTTTCAGAGCCCATTTTGTGCTTAGTTCCTTGGGGGCACTACAAGCACATGGGAGGAAGAAAAAAGGACCCATTAGGGAGCTGGATCTTTGCCTCTGCCTGACTTGTAGCTGGCAAGCAGATTAGGAAGCTTGTGCAAAACAGGACATACCTGCCCCTTGCGTAACTGCCAGCCCGGACCACAAAGAGCTCCTCTCTCCTTCCACAGCTCCCCGAAGCTCTTAACACTACTGAGTGCTCTTACCTCCATACACCTTGTTGCTTTAGTTTCTGATTTCCTACTTTTTCCTCAATAAATTAAAAAAAAAAAAATCAGATCAAATCAAATATCGTACGACAAATTAACCAACAGAAGTTTCTACATACAGTGAGCAAACAGTTTTATTATATTAACACTGCAGAAGTACTCCCCTAGCTGAGTATGGCACTTCCACACTTAGGCGTTGCAATCAAGGACTTTATACACAGCAGTTATCTACACTGAGATGTTAGACATCTTTGCATCCAGAAAAGCCTTGATTTCAAGTAAAAAAAAAAAGTCAAAGCCTTCTGGTAGGAATTTTTACAAATTTCTATCAGACCGTGCTGTATTTGAGTCAGAGATTGCATCTCTCCAGGGCAAATGGATTGAGTCCAAATATATTAATGCATAAGCAAATCATTTTGTTAAGCAGTATATGAAGATAGATATGAATGTACAATGCCTCTAATAAGAATGACTGCTGCAGCACAAACAGTTTTTGCAGGGAGCATTGTGAGAAATATTTCTGTTATACTGAGAGGTGTGGGGATGAGGCACCAGGATATTGAAGTGTTTTTGTTTTGTTTTTTTTTTTAAAGCATTTAAGTGTTAACACTTATTTGGCTTGGATGGCAACAAAAGAAAAATTATGCAGAATTATTGTTTTTCAGCAGAATCATAGGAATTGATGTTACAGTATACAGTGAACTGCCTTAAGCCTCTCTCATGGTGAAGATTTACTCCAGCTCATCAGAAGCAATGGGATAATATTTTTGTCATTTCAAGGCTGTATACAGAACAACAGCACTACGATTAAGACCCAGCTACCTAACAGCTGCTCTGCATCAACCATCAGCAAGCAGGCCATTAGTCAGCAACAAACAGGCTAAAAACCCATTTTTCACCGGGGTCTTACACTAATGCACCTTACTTTTCTGTTTCCAGGGAAATAAATTTACTTGCTGTTTCATTCAGCTACTGTGCTGAATACATGAATACACACAGATTTAAACAGCTTAGTAGCGTGACCAAGCCTTCAAGAATTTATGTCCTCATGATCTGAGCAATATTCTCACTCCATAGTCATATCTGAAAATTATACCACTATGCCTCACGGCAGTAGAGTGACTACAGCAGCCAGACAAGGGCCAGTTTTTAAAGCCTCAAGTTTCAGAAACCTGTTGAGAACCCACAACCCTTGTTTGGCCAGCTAGCTCACTGTGTTGCTATTTGAGTACTGTTGTGCTTGGTCCAGCTGGATTGCAGCTAACTAGTGATATGCCTTCTGAACATAGCAGCACCATACCCTTAGGCTCCTAGGACCTTTAGGAAGAAGGTCCACACACTCCAAGCCAAACAAGCTATTTTTGTGATACACAAAATGGATGACAATGTACCCGCAGCAGCAAAATGCTGGTTTAAAACCCATCTTCAGCAAAGAGATGCTTAGTGATAGCTTCCACACTCATTCCTAAAATGTTGTGCTGCTCAAATCGTATTTCAAAAGTGCTTCACACATAAAGCTGCCTTAGGATAAGAACAAGAAAGCACGCACAGGGAAGAGGGACAGTAGGTGGGGGAGGAGAAGAAAACAGTGAACGATTACGTAACAGCTTTTTTTTGCTTCAGGAAGCAATTGGTCTCTCATTTTTCCTCCCTGCTTTATTACAGTTTTCTGTCCTCTCTCACTGCATTACAGGGACTGAAAGCATACAGAACATGCTATCAATTTAACAGCTGCAACAAATAGCATGGAAGAAGTTAGGGGCATCTTTTAGGTTCCAACAACAGATATATATTAACATAAGTACAGAAAATTAAAACTGTCAATCTAAATACTACTCCAGCATCTTGTACGTGCACAGACCTCGTATGCACAGCTAGCTAAAAAGACAGACATGCTCCTTTACCTATAAACCAGTTTGAGCAGACTGCAACAGTGCAGAATTTAAACTGTCCTCAAATATGTGCAGCAAAACCAGCAGAAGATGAAACCTCTATGCATCAGAGGAGACAACGCAGGGCTAAGCAGCTGCTAAAAGATCAATAAACAGCTCTGTCAACAAAACAGTAACAACACCAACACACAGAAACCCAACCTCATAGCAATGGAAAACCTACGGGGCTGCACTGTGTATAATGTTGCCTTTGCAGTTTCTTCATTTTCCCCCACCCATCTTCATTCCTGGGACTGTGCACCGGTCTGGTTGCTACTGCTCTGCCATCTGTTTTCCGTCTGCAACACTCCAATTGCAACGCAAAGTTGTACAGCTGATGCCATCGCCTGGCAGAACCCGGTACACCACTCCGTGACGGCTATTGTAATGTAAATACGTTGGCAACTTACAGCGCACAAAAACGGTACGTTTCTACTGTTGACAGACCTGGTGTGTTCACTGAAACACTGCAAATTTTCAATATATCATGCCAGCAGCATATCCAGGTGTAATATTGCAAACAGGTGACTTTTAAACACCACAGGAGAAACCACAGAATTGGCAGAGAAAAGAGGACATAGCAGAAGACAATGGATGAAACTGAAGACTGCACAAAGCTACTAAGGATCCCCATTTGAGACACTGTTAAACATGCCACACAATTGAGGCAAATTACTAAGAAAACTATTACATCTTAAGATGCTGAAATGCGTTACCTTCATTTCATAAACATGTACAAATCTTTTTTAAAAAGCATTAATCTTTTTAACTGGATATTTTAATTAAGCTATTTGATACAGCAGTTTTCATTCCTATACCATTCCAAGGACATGAGCCATCTGATTAAGAAGATTCCAGGACAGCAGCAATTGTGAGTGAATCAAGTCAGCCATTTTGTGTAAGCATCAGTTCTGATGCACATATCAGCGCAGATTTACAAGAAAGATTTTCTAGTTGTGGTAATGCATAACATTGCCTCTCCTCGCTACCTGGAACAAACAAAGCAGCCATTCCTTGGTTTGGTAAGGGTCAGGCAGAGAACTGAACTTAATGCTCCTTCAATCTTCTCCAGCTGTCCTGCATGACAACCTATGCAGGTTGAAATGTACAGCTGTACAAACTCTAGCGACTCTGAAGAGCTGAGAGCAGGTGCCTAATACTTCCATCCCTTTGCAGATCCAGGGCCTTGCTGCATCTATTTCTTTATATCTAACAAGTGACAGAAAAAGAACAGTTTTAATTGAAGCCATATATACTGCTGTAAGTAAGGACAGGCTGAAGAATTGTGCCCATGTGAACCAAATGAGGTTCAACAATGCCAAATGCAAGGCACTGCACTCGGGGTATCCCAGCAATCCCAGGTATTTACATAGACTCCTTGAGAGCAACCCTATGGAGAAGGACTTGGGGTCCTGGTGGACAAGAAGATGGACATGAACCAGCAGTGTGAGCTTGCAGCCCAGATGTGGCTCTGGGCAGCCTGGTCTAGTGGCCAGCAACCCTGCACATGGCAGGGAGGTTGAAACTAGATGATCTTTGAGGTCCTTTCCAACCCAGACCACTCTACGATTTTAAGTAAGACATCTTTATGTCTTTAAGATGCACTGTGCCAGGCAGTTAACCATGGAAAACCTCTGGATCACAGTTATGAAAACACTACACAAGAACTGCAGTGCCACAGTAATTCTTACTCAGGAGAAAGCAGCATTGTAGAGAAGTTATAAGGCAGCACCCTGCAGAACGTGGCACCTACCACAAGCCAGAGGACTTCCCAGCCTCAGAAGGGGGATCATGTGCTACAGAAAAGAGTTTGATGCAAGAACTGTGTTCACAAAGCAGCATGACAAAACAAGGTGCTTAAAAAATTTTACAGCTAACAGACTACCCTCGAAAGCCTTTAGAAGGTTGAAAGAACTTCTAATGTGAAAATGGACTCTAAGGAAAGAAAGTAAAACTGAAAGAAGATAATTTAGACTAGATTCACACAGCATCGAGAAGCACACAAAAAGAGCCCTTCAAAACACAGCACTAGAGAAAAAAAGTTTTTCTCCTCCAGCTCTCATAACTTTCACTATTTGCTTTTTGATCTTCTGTCCTCTAACTTTTCTTTCAAGGTTAGACTTGTTTTTGAAATTTCTTATTTCAGCAGCATTAAGAGCTCCTCTATCACTCACTTGCCATTTAAACCCAGAGACAGCCAGCTAACCTCCTTGTTTCCTAATGTAATGCCTGGCAACAGCAGTCTTTGTATTCCTGAGACCAGGAAGAGCCAAAGGAAGTTAAAACAAACCCTTGCTTTAAGTGGTGGACCCTGGCAAGATGAAGGTTAGGCGTTGTGACAGAGTTCTTACAAGAAATTGCATTGCACTTGGAGTCAAATCCAACAAGCCTCACTGGATACAACTAGTTATCTGCCCACAGTCCTGAACAAGTTTCTCTTATTACTTTGAATTTTTGCCCAGCATGCAGCTTTCAACCAAGGATAAAGGACAAGGGGATGCACGTAACAACTTGTACCGTGTATGAACAAGTATTTGGGCATCATGGTCTGCAGTAAGGTACACTGAGTGACTGCCTCCAGGCAGATCACATACATGCTGAAACGTGCTTTAACTTCCAAGACAATTAGCCAACAACAGAGAATATCTTCACAACACTCTGTATTCTAATGCTGCCATGACTCTGCAGCATATATGCTAATTGGATGAGAACACCTCACATGTAAAAATATCATTCCACAAGCATACAACACCAGCATTTGTCCTTATTATTTATTAATGTCTGTACACAATTAAAAAGTAGAAAAATTATCTTTGTGAAGAAATACAAACCTACTAGTTTCATAGGTTTTCCCAGTTATATACATATTTTCATAAACTTCTGGTAAACGTTTACTCAGAAAGTAGAACATTCCAAAAACTTGTAAAGGATCCTCCAATAGGATCTCTACTACATTCAGCTGAATATAGGTTATGTAAATGTGGATCAGTCTGCTCTTCATCAACGCCGTGCAGCACAGGGGCCCAAGAACACAGCAAAAGAATCCACTGTTCCTCTTTTAAATGACTCACTTCTTGGTCAATACACAAAGAAGGAAGTCACATTTAAACCATACAGAAAAAATCCAAAACAAACAAAACCAAAAGAACTTCTTACATTGACATAATAAATATGTAGCTATTCAGAAATGAGATTTAGGAGTCTTTTAAAATATTGCTTCCTGTTAGATCTTTGAAATACTTGAATTTTGAAGAAGTTGCAGAAAAATATCTCTTTCAAAGAAGAAACACAAAGCATCAAGACTTATTGTTTGTTTTCACTTTCCTTCTGGCATCCTTATGTTTCTTCCGGCATTCCTGAAAATATTTCAATTTTAACACAGCATTATCAGAAGTTGTCAGTTCACCCCCTTGTTTCAAACTGTTTTTTTTCCATGCAGTTAACTAACCAGCCCTGTGCAATACAGGCTTTCAATAACTTATCCAACTACATACAACAACATGAAGTTACAGGATAAAAAAACAATTTAGCTTCCTGATATGACAAAGTTTGTCTTTCTGAAGTTCCCAAGTTTATCTTTACTGCAAATAAGGCAAATAAACAGCCCCATTCCATTCTCATGCTGAGATTTCAGCTATAGTTTTTCAAAAAGGTTGTTTAAAATACTCACCTCGAGTAATAATCTACGCCTGTCTTCCCAGCTATCTTTTTCTTCATTGAGGTTAACTGATCTGCAAAATAACTTGGGTCCCTCTGCACAGAACAAATTAATATGGTTAAAGCCATTGGAATATGGTAACACTTCTTAAGTCTCATGCAAAACAGTGAGAGTTAAAAATCAGATCATCGTCTGCATAGATAACTCACAACCCATAACTCCACCACACAGCTGACTAAAACAGGTTTCATTCATTGCAGCTTTGCATGGTATGAAAAATGAAGGGCAGCTGTAGCTTTCCTTACTACACTGAAATACAAATTGCAGCAAACCAGCAATCCTTACATTAAGCTCAGCACTGTGATTCTGTCTACCAAGAAAACCTATGCCTGCTATGAACTCGGAGCTTGATTTTAACAAGTACTGTAAATCAGATACACAGATCAGGTTACAATACAACAACTGCATTAGGTACACAGTAACTTTTGTATGCTTTTCTTTAAATCAATCTATAACTTCTCTCAGAAAATGAACATTAATTAAAATTGCCCTAATAATCACTTCTATAAGATATCAGAACCAAGTCCACTCTTTTTCTACTATGGGATTCATTACATTCACAGGAAAGAACACACCACATTATTTAGTACCAAGAACCATATGGGTGTATATGGCTGATAAGCATATTGAATATTCCTAGTAAGAACTGAAGCATGGAAAAAAAAGATCATATAGATGCCTGAAAGGAACCAAAGATCTAGCTAGTTTACCAAGTGACATTTGTAAGCTCTAAAAGATCAGCAAAAAATTAGGCAGTGATCTAAAAATAAGAGTGCAAGGTAACAGCTGCAGTTTCTGTTGGGAAGCACTACCACAACCCACAGCACAGGAGATGACTGAAAGTTGTGATTTTTTTTTGTCTTAACATCTCATCTGTATTTAAGTTAGAAACCATTAATTAATTAACCAGGCAATCTTTTTCCCTCTTCAGTTGCAGTAAAGAGACTGGAAGGGAGAGAAAAGGTGAATAAACTCTGTTTCACCTCTTAATCGTTCATCATCTTTGGAGAAGAAGAAAAACCTTGCACTTCCTGATTGTGGTAAAGGGAGAAACCTAGAAAAACACCAAGAAGTGTTAACACCATAGAATTTAGTATCAAGTTCCACTAGCATATATTAAAGCTGCAGTATTTCAGAGAATAGCAGTACTGAAGAACAACAGTGCTCCACAGTAACCAAATATAGCCTTCTGGATAGAAATACTGAAGAACACTTGACATTATTTGACTTGGCCAAAACCAGTACCCAGTTAAATATCACGCAATCTACTAGAAACTCTATTTTAATATTTAACTTCAAATCAAGTCTGATAGCAACATTTTTTAATACTATGTTCTGTGCAGTAAGGAGTGGTTTCTGTTAAAAAAGACTTTTCTTGGTTAAGGATGCACAGTGAAGGTTGTTAGTTACCCATGCTTATACTTGCTGCTATTAAAATTCACCCAGCATCATTTCCTACCAAGAAGACAACAAATACAAAGAGAACTTGCATTTCTTTCTCTCTTTCACTTTCTGTTGCCTCTGGTTCATCATCATCCTCAGAGCTACTGTCCTGGAAACGTGGATCTTCTTGCCATTTGACTTTCATAGGTTTTATTGCTTCAAATACATAAGGCTCTGCAATAATAGCACAAGAATCAGATTACTCTTTTCCTTGCCAGTAGACTTCTACTCATGAGCTAAATAGTTATATTGGAAAATAACAGACTTGAACAGTACAAAAACTCCCTTCATATATTTTCTATGACCCTATGGG